GGCTGATGAGAACTGCATGCCCAGTCGGTGCTGATGTGAGTCTAACTCATCCTTGGGGAGCTGGTTGTATACATTCGTGCTTCCTCCTTCTCAGCCATCTCCTGGCGCTGCTGTAGGCAGGGAGGAGTGCCTTCTGCTCCAGGCTAGGCAGTTGCTTTAGGAACAGCTGTAATACTTTTAACATAATATTGCTCCACTGCTTGGAGCTATTACTACAACAGAGCCATGGTAACCCCTCACTGGCATCTGTGCAACGTAAACTGTCATGGTTCCAGCTTCTGCTGAAGCTGACCAAGGGTGACCTGGCTGGCAGCCCTTACAGTACTCAGCAGTGCATCTCACCATGAGGTGGAGGGATTCTCCCATCCAAAACACCACCATGAAGCATTGAAGGTAGTAGCTTCTCAAGCCATCGTAGCTTGAGAAGGTGTTATCTGCTTGTGCCATAGGCAAGCAGTGCCAGAGCACCGGTTGTACAGCAGCAATGTTCTCAACAGCCTGTGCCTGCTACCAACGTGTTGGTTAGAAGCCAGTCACTGTTTTTCTGTTGGTGTATAAATAAAAACGTATTTTTTTTTTTTTCTTCATACATCATTTTAAAATGCTTCAGTCACTGGCAGATTTTGCAAATTAACTTTTCCTTTTGAATGCAGTGGGTGACAAGTGGCAAGTGGTGAGCAGCGAGAGCCGGTGTTTGCAGTGTCATGGGTCAGCGTAAGCCTCGCTTTCTGCTGATACAGGATTTTAAAGCAGCCTTCTGTCGTATTTAAGCCTACAGAGGTGTCATACTAGGTGCTCAGCTAGGTACCACCTACTGGTAATCCTGTGCCATGTGTTTATCTTTAAAGTTTGCATTTTGCTGAGGACTGTGCTGTCTGCTTTGCGCTCTGCCAGTGACTCTGCTTACAATAGCTCCATGCTGCTAGCTCTGCTTACTGCCAGGGCAGGATACATTGCATTAAACTAATTAACTATAGAAAATTACATACCAAGGAAAAAATAGCATGCGAAAACATGTAACTACCCCATTGAAAGCAGCAGGAAAAGGCCAAGGTTAGGCACCTTTATTATCCGGAAGAGATGGAACCTCATGTATTTTTATAAAAATCTCAGCTTACACTTTAAAACGTGTTTTGCCATGTAACTGTTTTCTTAGCTGCCTTTTAGCATATTTTATAGTTATGGTAAGTTGAATAGTTTATGTGGTTTAAGCCCAAGTAACTACTTAGAGGTTACCTTAAAAATACATCCATTTTCATAAAATGCCAAGTTTGAGACTCTAGCCAGGAGATGGAATTGAAGGTGTAGGCAGAGCTGTGTTGGCAGTCCAGGACTCCTGCTTCTCGCTGCTCCTGAGTGGCAGCTCTGGCCCTTGGTGGGCTGATTAAGCTCACTCAGCAAGCAGATAATGCTTCACTTTTTTTTTTGGTGTGTGTTTTTTGTTGGGTTCCTTCACTGGAAAAGGGGGAAGAAACAAGAAAGTAGTGAGAAGAGGATGTTTTTGGTCCTTGATGTCAGTGGGTGGTTGGTTGGTTGAACTTAGCCTTCTTTTCTGTTTGCATGGGAAGGAATTGGGCCATTTCAGTGTAAATAGCTTGTCCTCGATGAGGAGAGGCAAAAAAGGCAAAGGCTACGTGAGCAGCAGTCTGGCTTCACGTTGGACAGCCCTGGGAAATACACAGTAAATGCGTTTTGTTGCCTGTGGTCTCTGCAGATCAGGAGAACACCCAAAGGGCTTGTCTTGCTTCCTCTCCTACAGTGAACTCATCCCTGATGGCAAAAGATTTCTATCAGCATCAGTTGACTAGTCTGGAGTCAGCCTCCTCTTCCTGGCCCCCGGGTGCAGAGGAGAAGGAAGGGGACACAGTCTTTCAGCCCACATGGAGAGGAAAGAACTGTCTGTAACGTGACTTCACAAATGATCTAAATGGTTTAGCTTTTTATAGTGGTGACATTAGGTTGGGGGAAGCAAGAAGGTGGGAGAGGAGACTACAGAAACACACAATCTGTTAAGCAGAGGTGAGTGGCACCTGAGCAACCTGGAGGCACACAGCACTGGGAAGCTAAATCAACACTGAAAATACGAAGTCAATTAATTTCAGCATGTTTCATTCTTCATTTGCAAATGACAGATGCAAATGAAAGTAAGGCAGCCTTATTTCCGAGGATTGCTGCTGCTGCAGCATTTGAAATGTTCAACATTTTTCACATAGGAATATTGTGGGAATAATACTGTAGCTCTAGTGGCCGAAAAGAACTAGTTTGCAGGAAGGTACGTGCTAACACCAGCTGGAAAGAACCAGACAAACTTCAAGGTTCATAAGCCTTACTTCTTTCCTAACCATGGACTAGGAAGCCTGTGAAATTCTGCTGGAAAACTTGTACAAGAATATAGGTGCAAAACATAAGTGCAAAAAGAATAAATATTTTGATTTGAATCCTTAGCGGTCATCACCTTTTGATGATGTATTGGAATTTGGAAATCAATGGAAATTACCCCATTCAGGATGGAATCTACAGAAGAGTTTTTTAATTTTGCAATAATTGGGATCTGTAGCAAGTTCTACAAGGTGAGACCTGAGAGAAAAATCAGTATGAAACTCAGCCAGCCAGCTGAAAATAATGTGGGGAACACTGTGCAGTGTGACATCTTAGCACAAACGAAGACATCCTTAGCAGACGAGAATATGTAAAACCATGCAATTAAGTGCATGTGGGAGAGACTGCAGACACCACCACAGCGTGTATCTCTGATCTTTTCCAAAAGATCAATGGATACCAGATACCTATTCAATGTTTAGTTATACACTGGTGCACAAGTTAATGTGTTGCTGGAAATAGTTATGCTAGTGCTTGAAGTCTACAGGAGGTTAAGTAGTGGAAGCATGAGAAATTAAGTCACAAAAAATTTGTGAGTTGCAAATGTATCAGTAAACTGAGAAAATCCCTCTGCTACTTCTAGTAGCATTAGAGTAAAAGGGCACTTAGTAGGTTACAACCGTTTTTAACACTTGAAGCAGTATATATAATCAAGAGGAGGGTTACCAGAATTAACAAGGCGTATTTTCAGGACACCTTTCAAGCAGTCAAGTGGAAGAGAGCTAGAGGTGATGAGAGTACCTTCCCAGAATCATGGTAGGAGAAGGCCTTCCCTATCTGTAAAACTGGAATAAATGAGGACAAATATCAGCTTATTCAGAAAGTACCATAAGCGTAATACAACACACTGAGGACACTGTTCATTTTAGTCCTGGGCATAAGCACCAAATATTTAGATGCCTGCAAGGAGAATGTTTTCTGCTGTCTACAGAGGAAGAAGCAGGTGGATATGAATAGTGTGAAATGCATACACTTTATGCTGCCTGTGTTTGCAGGGCTGTGATTGGAGCTCTTGGAAAAGTCAGTGCTTGTAGCTGAACAAACATTGAGTCTCTCCTTTGGGACATGCTGTTTCCTCAGACCAGTGTTTGAGTTTTGTTTAAATACCCAGGTGTTTCTAAGAAAACTGATCACATTGTTGATAGGCTACAGAGCACTTAGATTAACATAGGTCATATTTTGAGCTGGAAGAAAAACCTAGTAGACTGGCACGATTATAGAGGCTCTTAAAAAGAGCAGTCTGCTGGCCTGAAGCTAAACAAACCAAAAATGTAAATTATGTGTGGGTGAAACGGCATGCCTGGCAGAGCTGATGTGCCTGGGGTGTGTGTGCAAATAAATCACAGTAATGTCAAGGCCGTTGTTAAGGTACCTGCCTAAGCAAATGAAAAAGCATAACTAAATTCTTGGGTATTGCTCGAGTTTGAAGCTGCATCCAAATTGATCTTCCCACCACTCAGGGAAGGTGAGTCCAGACCTGCACCAGTGACTCTGCAGGGTTTGGCTTTGTGCAGCAAAGAACTTCTGCACCCAGCATGGCCCATGGGGTCTCTTGGCTCAGTCCCCTCTTTATTGGGGTTAATTGACAGCAGACTGATCACCTAAATCTTAGAGGTATTGGAGAAGATTGGATGTATGTGTATATATACACAAACACATATGTATATATATGAAAAATATATAAAAAATAAATATAGGAAAAAACTATATTCATATGTGAATGTGTGGGGAGGGGGAGAGAGAGGGAAATGACTGTCAGTATGATCAAATAGGGGAGAAAGCATGGTTTGGTATACATATCTGTTAAAAAATATGAAACTTTTTATTAAAAAAAGATTGTTGGCCGTTGATTAGTTGAAAATTAGCAAAATCAGCTTGCCATTAAGAACTTCAAAGTAGTTCTTAAAGCATTGAATTGATGGATTCAAGAAAATTTCAAGAAACCCAAATTTGAGATGTTTTTAGCTGTTGTGTTACGTTAAAAATACTTACTCAGTGCTACTTTCTCTTATTTCAGAGAATGGGTTTTATATTTTGGATACTAAATGAGTGAGATTCCCCAGAGTCTCTGGATTTGGAATCAGGTTTGTCTACCTTTTTTGGAAACAAAAAAAAAAAGCTGCTTCTCGGTATAGGTCAGAGTAGTGATTTTGGAATACTGCAAGTCTCCTGAAACACAGAGAGGAAGATTTAAGGTCTTTAATGTGGAGTTACTTCTAACTGTTGCTCAGCTGCCTCACTCTTCTTCACACAAACTAAAAATTATGTATGGATATTGATTTACTAGTTCTCATTGTGTTTCTTAATTAATTTCATTGTGTTTAAAAAAATGCAAAAGTTAAATGGGTGCTGTGTCATATGCAGAACTTCCCATATATGAATAGTTACTGAAAAATTAAGTCTTAACAATCCAAAAATGCTAAATTTATCTTGGATCTACCCAATAGATAGATAGATCTGTCTATCGCAGTGCTCCTATCTGGAACATTACCATTATAGATACTTTTTTCTTCTTTTTTTTTTTTTCAATCCCGCATCAGATGTTGACAGCATAATGTCTGTTGCTGGTTGAAGGAGAAGGTGGCATCTAGGGACATTTCTGTGCTGTGCAGTCATTCACCATGGCAGATTTTGTGTTGCTTACCACAGCGGTGAGCTGGCTGCCGGCGCGGCAGAAGGCAGGTACGGTACCCAAACTCTGCCTTGACACACTGCCAAGGCTGGGGCACTGCAGGCTCCTGCTCCCTCACGTTGATTTTATAACCTTTCTGGATAATGGTTATACACCTCCGCACTCTCAGTTAAATTACATATATTTTTAGTTATGGCATGTGGCTAATAAAACAGTGGAAGCAACTGCACGTTGCAACTGCATGAAGCTATGTATGAGTTGGCTGCTTCTGGCAGGTTTACTGGGCAGCTGTCAAGAGAAAGCAGAAGCTAATTTATTGCAGTTCCTTTCTCTTCTAAGCCCAGCTTTTGAACTTCATGGAAAAATGTGGCCGTTCTCCTTTTGTTCTTTGTCTCCTTAGAAATAATAATAAACCAAACTCCAAACTCAGTGCTTCAAGTTCAGTCTTATATTGAGGACAGAAAATTTCTCAGTATGCATCTTGTTATGGTACAAAAAAAGATCCTACTGTTTTACCTTTTATGGGCAAATTATTTTCTGAAAGGCACTGTGATAACTCAAGCCCTTCCTCTGTAGGGATATGTTCATCTGAACAGGGTTGAGTACCCTACATACAGCCAATGAAGCTTGCTGGGGCAGTGCAGGGAGTCTGTGTGACTCAGAGCACCTCCATCAGATACCAAAAAACAGATAAGGTGAACATCTTCCTGGTGTTTTCAGGTTTTCACTGCCTTTTACGGAAAGTTAGGTGTTGCCTTAATCTTTTGATTTGGAGTTGGGGGAATTTACCACCTCGTTTTCGTCAATGAACATACTGCTGCAAGGCTTTAGTTGTAAGTTCTCATAAAGCTGATTGCATCTTCCCACCTTAATGTGCAAGAAGGTCATTACCACAGCACAGTTAGCCTGATTACTGTTTATTTCCTGGTAATATTTTGATAACTGGTTGACTAGAACTGATTAAATGGTTCTTCTCTGGAGTTCAGTAGATAACTATGTATGTATGAATGCCTTTTCCAATTAGAGGAGAAACTTCAGGGTAAACGCACCGGCTTAGCAAAATGAGCACTGTAGCAGTGCTTTTTTTTCTTTTTTTTTTTTTTTTTTTTTTTTTTAAATAGCGTGAATGTGTCATCGGGCCATAGATGAATGTGTAATCTAATTGTCTTGGCAGGGAGGGGGAACCCTGGCCTATGGCACGTCTTTAACAAAAATTACTTCAGTGTTGTCACAAGTTGATTGGAAATATTTTTTCTTCACATTACTCATGGGATGTCAACAAGTATGCAAATGTGAAAATTTAACATATGTTTCCATGCTGCTTTTACACGGTTTCTCACACCAGTTTAATGAGTAAAAACTGTCTTTTAAAATGCCATTTCAAACCCAAGTCCTTTGCTGTAGAAGGCCATCTCACTGTTAGTTTCTTAGTCTTCTGCTCAGGTGTTAAATAGTTTATTCAATTCATTTGTTTATTTTACAAACTTGGACTGTAGCCATTTTTGTCTTACTCTGGCTTTATGCTGTAGTTAAAGTTTGTATATCCAATAATCCCCCTTGTTACACAGTGTTGCATCTTTTTTGGGTTTCTTTCGTGTCTTACCTCAGAGCATCAAGTTTCCATTGATCTTTTTGCTGCAGCTAACGCAGTAAAACATTAGTATCTTTCTTTTGATCTCGGTGGTAAATGCATTTATTTCTGAATGAAGCTGTAACGTTGTTAACTTCTGTAAAGACTTCCTGACAGCATAATAACTAGGGATGGACCAGCAATTTAGATCTAATAAGACCCAATCGAGTTACTTTGTGTTGTGCCTTCTGTCTCACATCTGTTTGTGAAAGGTGGTCCTGGCTTTCCTGTCACGGGAGCCAGGCAGTCCCCTCGCCAGAGTGGTCCAGCTCTTATTTTAACCACAGGTGGATCAGCTTGGAAGCTTAAAACCTGGAATACTAATTCTTTTCCTGAAATGCAGCATGTTTACCCCTCTACACTTGAATAAGCACAGTTGTTTCACCATTTCATTCCACTGGTGGTGTGTTTAGACCAAGATGTAATAATGCAGGTCAAAGAGTTGGAGATGTTACGGTTTTAGTTATGCTTAATTAGCACATTCCTTGTGTTTACATTAATGTTTTAGGGTTATCTTTTTGTAGTGTTGAAGTATCTTGGGGTTTTTGGCCCGGGAAGGGTGGGAGCAGGGTAGTGATGCTGACTCGTGCTGGAGCAGAGCTGCACGTGTGGTGTTTTGTAGGTGGATTCCAGGAGTCCCGAGATAAGACTCACAAATCTTCCTCGATATTATAAAGCATTGTGCTGTCAATTTGGGTATCATGGTGCAGTATTTGGTAAAGCTTTTAACAGATGGCAGACTTATGAAGGTGGTGTGCCTGAATAAACTCCTGGGTTTGTGCTGTTTTGCTTTCCTTTGCGGGGTAGAAAGGATACGATCATGCAAATCCTTTTATCTGGAGTGCAGGCTTCATGTTTTGATAAGAACAAAAAAGGGAATCTTGGAAGACAAACAAGATGCTTTAGAGCATTACTGGGTATTCAAGTCATCTCAGCCACTGTAGAAAGTGCTTCCTGCCTGTTGTCTTTCTTACCTCTTAGATTTTGTCTACAGCCACGTATTGCTTAAAAATTGAATGGTTGTTGAACTGGGAAGAATTAAGTTAAGAAGATGTGGCGACTTTTTTTTTTTTTTTTGACAGATGCAGTCGTGCTTTTAGTATGAGAAGGCTGAGAGTACATGATCCTTTCTCTCTCCACAGTACTTAGAGGTGTATCCCTCTGTCCTCTCTGAGCTGCTCCACAGCTGACCGCTGGATCGTAGTGTGCTCCATTAGAAGAACCAAGTGCTTTCTGCTGAGCACACTAAGCTCTGCATTTGTTGATACGGGCACAATACTGTTTTGTAAAACACTGGAATTAAAAAGCAAATGAACCATCTCAAGGTTCAAACTAAAACCAGTCACATACTTGAATATAAAGGTGTTTTTTGTATTTTTTCAAATTTGAAGAAAACAGTACATTTTTCCTTTTGAAATTGGAGAGAGGGTGAAGTAATGTGTGTATTGCAGATACAAAATCTAAACAACTAATGAAAACAATTTTTATGGAATACCTCTCCTAGGTTTTAAAATTTGACACTTAATGGGTTACTGCAATAATTACTACTCTGTCAGTGCCATGATGACAGTTATCTCATGTAATGCTGCTTAACATTTTGAACAGTAACAGGAAAATAGATATTCTCTGCCTCTCTATTTTGTTTAGTTGAAATACATATTTTTGAATATGAATACCAGAATGTTTCATGTAAGAATAGCGTTGTATCATGAAGTGCATGCAAATATGTTTTACTTCTTAAAAACAGTTCAGCTAGCAAATTTAAAAGACATGCAGCCTGACTTTATTTTCTTGGACTGAAATGTTTTATAGAGAATTTCCAAGTATTATTATTATTAAATCATTCTTTTTAAGCGAGATTTCATTTTGAAAGACTCGAAACGAGAGGCATGAGCCTCTCAGGAGAGTCAGCTGAGGAATAGAGAGTTTTCAAATTCAGATCTAGCCTGCATAATAACCTGTATTACTTGGTGGTTGTTACAGCTCCCCTGTTCTTGGGTTCTGAGCAGGGCTTCCCAGCCCTGGGCAGTGCATAGTCATGCAGGGAATGAGTCCTCTTTCTGCAGCGAGATCCTTACTCTGGCTCTTTGGAATTAGTTGGAGATGTGCCTGGGTGCTGAAGATCACTTTTTGGGAAGCCCCCTTCGGGGGCAGGGGGGTTGTTTGTAGCTCTGCTGTCATTGGAGCTCCTAGATGCACACATCTGAATGAATCTGAAACTCTGTTTGCACTTCGCTTGAGAGATGTGGTTGTCCTGCATGTCTGTGGGTGGATGCTGGGATTACTCTTCCTGATTACTTTTCTCAAAGTTTGCCCATTCTGTGAATAAATACAGGCTATTGTTCAAGTGTGCTAACAGCTTGACACATTACACATATTTAAAAAAAAAAAAATTATCTGGAAAAATAATCCCTGTTGCTGTATGTATATATTATATTTACAATAAGTACGGTATAGAGTGGGCAAATACAGACCAGCAGTAGGTCAGTTGGTTGCTCACTGGGCACTTGTCCAAATATCATTAAAAATGTTGACATTAAGTAATTTGAGGGCTTAATAATATTTAATTAACTACTATTTAAACACCTCTGCTTAGATTGACCTACATGTCTAGTTTAAAAGTTCTGGTATAGATAACAGAATTTATATGTTCAGTGTATAGTGGCTTATTAAAGGTGACAAAATGCACCTCAAACTTCTGATAATCCTTTGTTTCTAAAGAAGAGGAACAAACAAATGCACAATGCTAAATATTGTCCTTTTTGTTTATTTTTCAGATTAGCACTGTACGTATATGAATATCTGCTCCATGTAGGAGCACAGAAATCAGCCCAGACGTTTTTGTCAGAGGTATGTTTCCCCATCCTTTTTTTTGTCTTACACAGCTTGTAAATATATACATTGGTCTAGAACAAACAGCAGTGACAACCTTGAATTTCTGTTTACATTGATCAGCATGAATTTCTGATTCTGCAGAGGCCAGTTTGGCATGTCATTTAACGTGCCTTTGCATAAGTATTTTTGCTGTGATTTATTGTCCCCATTCTTTGATTTGCTACTACACTGGGGAAAGATTCATCTATTTTCTGTAATAAATGTGCATGTTAGAGAATGCATTAATGGTACTCTTTTTTGACAACTTTCTAATTTATATTTGGTATCTCCAATTGTGAATTGTGATGTAACCCTCCAAAATACACAGTAATCATGTATTTTACATCTTAATGTCACATGCTTGCAATTCTCATTCTCTTAAGGACTGCTGATTTCTCTGTATTCTTACCATGCTTCTAACCACTTCACTTCTTTTCATCTGGCAAATTAATTATGACTACAAGCATTTAGGTCCTGTTTCTTAAACAGTTCAACTGCTAATGGAATTTTTACTTTCACACAATAGTTACTGTTTTTCATAGTCTTTCAAAGACTTTGTATACATCTTTTGAAGGTTGAAATAAATTATGTTTCCTTGGCATTTTACGTTTACACTGGGATACAAAAATACCTGTGTGCCAACATACTGAATTTTTTTTGATTTATTATTGGTTTTAATCTCTCTTTGATGAGAACATTTAAGATAATATTAGTTGAATAGCGAGCAGAAGAGAGGAAAAAATAGGGAAGATGATGTACTAAGAAAACTTGCTGCTTTAACTAATACTCTTCTAAAAGCTAATAAAGTTACGGTACTGATAATGGCATTTTGGAGGTGGGAGAGGAGAGGGTGAGAACCCAGAGTGGGTTTTGTGGTGTTTGTAGAAAATTCATGTAGCAGAGATGAGAAAAAGGGGTAGAGTTGCGGCAGCATCAGTTTATAGTAAGGTATGTTTTTGACAATTGCTTTTTCTCTTTGGTAAAGCAATGAAAAAATAAGCAAGAAAATAATGGAGAGTGTCATCTGGGCTTTCCTGAAAAAGCTGTCATTTGTAAATAATACACTGTGGAAGATTCATTTTGCTCATTTTGGTTTTATGATATATTTGCAAAATGAGCAGTTGGCAGGAGTGTAACTGGTGTGACATTTGGATTTCTAGAAAACATGCAATACACTATCCTGAAACGTTTAAAACTAATTCAATCTTGGGTTATAGAGGAAACTCTCAGGTCTGAACAACTGTAATATGAGAATATGTATCAAGTCTTTCAAATTAAGACTGATACTAGCCAAAAGATGGTAAACACAGGGAAGGGATAAGTAATGTATAGAGTTGCTGTCTGTAAGATTTCACACAAAGCTGTTTATTTACCTCATTCATTAGCAGTCCAAAAGGCTGAATACTATGCTGACAGTACTTGTGAGTGGTTGTATGTTGGAACTAGAGGCAGTTACCACTGATACGGAGAAACATGGGAAAAATCATGTTTGGGTGGACAGGTTCAGATTGAGAAAAATGTACACCAATAAGCCTTGGAGAAAATTAAATAAAGCGAGTAGTAGACAGGTCTTAACATTGTAGTGCCCATTCAGTCCTGGGCTGTAACCCACAAACAGCTCAACCCCAACTCCGTACCCCGTGTGAGTCAGCTGGTTTTGTTAGAGAGTGAGTATTGGTGTATGGGATCAAAACAAGACAACATCAGTTGAGAGAAGTGCAAAAAAACCCCACAAAAGTCTTCTAGTGAATTTATGATGTAATGAAAGTTACAATTTTAGCCTTTTCTGGCTCATGGCTGTTGAGAAGCAGCTGTCCTGTTGCAGTGAGCTTGTTGTGAGAGTACTTCAGGTGTAGGAGACACCTGGTAGCACTGGTTTGGTTCCTCCTTAAAGAGCAGGGCTGTTAGGGCTCAGTGCCCCTCTCTGCCGTGGCAGTCTGCATCTGTCAGAATAGTTTGGGTAGATTTTGTTAACAAGAAAAGATAGTCCAGAGTACCTCTAAAATTGAACATTGGGGTGTAAGAGGTAAGCATGCATGGTCATGGTCTAAGTGGTTGGTGCTATCTATATATGTATAAATGACAAAAATTAAGAGCTCTTCCTTAAAGGTCTGCCAGGGAATGTGACTAAAAATAATGGAACAAAAGTAGGAAAAGGGAAATTTAAGTTGGCTATCAAGGAATCCACTCTGCTACTAGATAACTTAGGGATGGTTGTCCTAAGCATTTCTGTATTTTTGTAATGCTTTGTGTCTACTGTAAATTTCCTCTGCTGATCTTTCAGATAGGTGAACTGCAGTACAGCCTTCAAAGCATTGTTGCCTTCATCTCTGAAACATAGGACCTCAAGCTCATCTAGCATTTTCCTGCATCTCTTGACAGCAAAGACCTCTTCAGTTTGTTGGCTATCAAGTCTTGTGTCTTGATCTGCAAATTTACTTCCTTTCAGGAGACATGGCATGAAGTACTGGGTTTACGTAACTCAACAGCTGTTTCATCATAAAATTGGCAAAATGGCTAGGGGCTATGTATTTTATGAATTATATATAATAATATTATATATAATATAATTATAAAAATAGACATATTTTTCACTTTTATTACTCTTTTTATCTGCCAGCACTTAGGCAGGAGCTTTTTAAAAGATGCTTTTTATATATTAACTAGTGTTACACGGTGTTGGTGGGGTTAAGCACCATGCTGTTGGTTCATTCTGCCCACTTTACAAGCAGCATCAAGGGTACCTTCTAAAATAATTTCTAAATAGCAAAATTGTTTTTTAATAGTTGTATTCAAAAAACATATAAAAATCATGCTAGTTTACTTCATATGAGTGCAAAGAACTGTTTTAGGTGTATGAACTACATATTCTTCTCCTGCAAGCTATTGACAGAACTTGTATGCATTTAATTTCTTAAGAATTTGATGTTGGAGTTGAGAATCTAAGTTTTCGTCTTGTGGAAAGTGCTAGTTTTACCTGTGCTTCTTGCATTAAGGACACTCAAGCTACCTTTTTTAGTAAGCTTTTATGTAGCTATATACATACCTTTAAATACCTTTCATATTGAGGCTGTTGAAGCATTTCATTAAAATAATCCACTTTTTGTCTCTAGAGCAGAATATGGTTTTGTGTTTGATCAATTTTTTTTTTAACAAAATTGGACAGGAAATGCTGCTATGTGTAGTTGTAACTGGAGGAATTTGGAGTGCATGCAATGCCCTAGTTTCACCCAGTTTTTAACACGAGACGTTCTTTATATGGTGGTGTGTGGATTTCTGCAGGACCTCCAGTTGTTTGCAACAGAGCTCCTTCAGCAGTTACACAAGCTTTATGGTAGTCCAAACTATTTAATTTTGTAGTTAAGAATAAACTAGTAACTATGGCATTTATAAAATGGTTGCGCGATCATGGTTAAGATGCAACATCTCTGAAGTATTGCAGAGATACAGGAAAAAAGTCACTGTGTGTGATCTAATGGGTTTGCTGATCAACAAGAAAAGTGTGAAGGCAAGAGTAAGAGTTATTAAGCTGCATTTTCTTTGAAAACAGTGTTAAACAAATAATGCATCCTAGGTGGGAGAGAAGTCATAGTCGGTATACCTCTGTTCAGGAGAGGTTGCCAGTGCAGAGAAAAAAAGCTAAACTCTCTTTCCATTTGCACTGAGTGGTGGGAAACAGGGTTATAACTCTGGTGCTGCCTGTATTTGCCACATTTACCTCTAGCAGCAAAGCACTCCTTGAGGATTATAAAACACTGGCTTGCTTTGGCTGCGGAGGGAAGACTGCCACCTGCTGAATCAGTAACATTAATTCTGTGTCTTCTGTGTCTTCCTTAGGGCAAATTGGAAAATCTTTTAGAGCATTTTAAGGGTACTTTTTAACAGTTGTTTTTGGGGAGGCATTCAGTTTTGACCTTAAAATAATGCAAGTCTCAGTTGTGAGGTGATACGAAATATGTCATTAATAAAATTGTATTCAAAATCTAAAAATAATATTCTAAAATATGCTTTCCTAGAACAAGAAAAGCTTATTTTAAGTATCAGCTATATTAAGTGTAATAAAGTAAGTGATATGGCCATACAGATTGGTGATGATAAAGTCTTTCATAACTACAGAATCTTTTCTGCTTTTTCTTCTTGCTATCTGCATGAATTACGTAATGCTTTTTGGTCACAATGATCACAAAAATGTACACCTCATTTTTTCTTGTTTTGTTTTAGATAAGATGGGAAAAAAACATCACACTGGGGGAGCCCCCAGGATTCTTGCATTCCTGGTGGTGGTAAGTATCAATTTTCTTTTCCTCTGACTTCTGGAATATGTTGATTGCTAGTTCCAGGCAAGAAATTCAGGTGAACATTGTAAAAAGAATGTGAAGGTGAGGATCAAGAACCATTTTCTTGTTAAGAAACCAAAGAATAGAAAATTAGATGTAGAAAAAGATGTAGATATTAGATACAGGAAAAGAAAGATTGCATAGTGCATTAATAAGAAAGCATCTTTGAAAGAAGACGCCCTGCATTTCTTTCTTCACCACCTTCCAGTAAATTGTGCATTTAACAGATTGTTCTACATATACTACATAGCTACATTTGAAAGAAATAGTATATGCAGAGACTGCATATAGATGTGAGCTTCATCAGTGTTCAGTCCACATTCTAGTCACGGGAAGAGCATATGAAAGTAATTAGCTGAACTCAAGCTACCAGCCTTTTTTGTTGAAGCAGTGTGCATTAGCATGGGCCTGGTGCTGCAGTGTCTGCGTTTGCGCAGTTCCTCTCAGCTCATAATACGGACAGAGATGGGGTTGACTTGTAATTTTTTATGCACGCTGCTGTTTGCTTATATATACTGGTGTGCAGAGACACGTGTGTGTGTGTGTAGAATTCTCAAGGAGGAAAGAGTGCTCACAGTCACTGCTATTTAGCCATGCTGCTTATTAGTTGTCACATGCTATTTATTAGCTGTCACATGATTTGAATGTATCCAATATGCTTGTGTTTGAAAGAATACAAAATACAGAGAGTACGTCCAACTGTCAGGAGTAAAAGAATTTACAAGTTTTAAAGTGGCCCCATTCAAACCTGACTGATGTGTACAGCTGCATGGAAGGTGGTGTATTCTTCATTGACTTTCCTTTCATCGCTTTTAGCTATGTGATGGAAACCTGGCAAGGAGAACATGTTCCTTATGAGATGTCTGTGTTATCCTTAATTTTGATCGTCTGCAGCAGAGAGCTCAAATTTTCCACAGTTCTTTATTACGGTGCTGGACTAAGTTACAGAGCATTAAGTCTAAAACAATAAAGAAACACTATGAAACTTTTAACAAATTTTATTCTTTTAATTGTTCTAGAATACGCATAATTTCATTCCAGAAACTTTGTCTAAGAACTGATTTGTGCATAACTCTATGTAAGTAGGTTGGGGAGGAAGACTGATGGGAGTACCATAATTTCCTCTCACTCTTTATAACCCAAGAACATACTCATCTATTTCCTACTCTTGTCCGTACACCTGTTTCTCTGGCAACTTTTGTTTGAAGCACAGTACTGGACGTTGGAAGAACTCCCAGTTTTCTCTCCAGTTTCTTTCCTTTTTATGTTATTACAAATCTGTCCCTTCCCATGCTTCAAGGAAGTTAATTGCAGCAGTTGCCAGAGGGATGAGGTTAAATGCAGAGCTTCCGTAATATACTTTATACCCTTAAATCTTGTATATTAGGCTAGCTTCTTGGTCTATACTGTTGTTGTATTAAAGGAATACAGCACTGCTTTCCTTGGAGAATAGGGTAGCAGAACTGGACTCTTCATAGATGTTTTACAAAGCTAAATTCTTTCATAGAAGCAAGTGTTTTCATCCCTTGGCAAGGGAGTGATATGTCTGTTTCTGTGTATGAACATGCTTGTGTGGTGTGTGTACATCATAAAATCTACACGAGTATTACAGTGATTTTCTTACCATCTCTGTAACTTCTTGACTTGCAGCGTGTTTTGGGATCTCTACTGTGCAGCTCCAGAAAGACGAGAAACATGTGAACATTCAAGTGAAGCGAAAGCCTTTCATGACTACGTAAGTTTTGTGTGTCTTTACCACGCTTTCATTAATTGTATGTATAAATGTGATAGATAAGTATTTCTACACTGCAGTGGCTCAAAAATGCAGGTGTCCAACATACATAACTCTCAGTCTTCTGGGGATGCCTTATAACTAGGATTTCCTAATTCTCTGATTATGGAAAACTCCTGGACATACATCAAAGTGCCATCCCATGTGTTAATGCAGAATGAAGAAGGTCCTTCTGTCCCCCCTGGCATGGACACATCAGGCTGGTCACAAAGGTGCAGGACAAAGGGAAGCACAGATATGTCCTGTCCAAGTATCCATACTCTGCCAGTGCTAAAGCCTGTTCAGTTGATGGAATTGACCACCAGGCTTCTGTCAGGACCATACTGACTTACAGTGTGGTGGTTCATTCTTCAGGGGGATTTGTATCCTGAAGTAGGTATTTTTCATCAGCATGATAAGCAGTTAAGCATCACAGAACAAGTTAAATGCACAATTATTTGGTCCAAGAGAATCAGAGGAATAAAGGGCAAAAGTATTACACGAATTTTGGTGCCTTTGAGACTTAATTCAAAACACAGCAGGGAGTCTGATGGTGTTTTCCCTGGAATAATAATAATAATAATAATGATAATACATATTCTAGAAATCAAGTTCCAAAACATGGCAACAGTTTCATTCCATTTTCTTCATTCTCATTATGTAAATGGAGCTCTCCAGAATTTGAGCTCCTCCTACTATGTCGGCTCCTCTCCATCCGGTGTTTTCATTATTACTGATCAAATCCTTAGGAGGTTGACCACTAAGCATTTTTTGTTCCTTTGGGCCATTGATATAGTCTAAAGAGGAATATAACTCTCTCACAGTACAACTCTGAAACCTCTTTCCATGAGTGTTTTCCAGGTCTGTCTTAGAAATACTGACTAGAAAAATATTTCTTCAGATAAAATTAAAATTAGACTGCCATAGTCAATGTCTTACAAACACAAATTTGAAAAACGTAAAGGAATCTGCTAAGTGACCATTTTCAATAATTTGGTAATGGCCTGGCGTCCTACAGTATGTGAGCCAACAGTGATCTTGCCTTATTTGTAGTTAACAATGGCTTAGGTTGTAAATGCATCATCAACACAGAATTGTTCAGCCCATTTTAATTACAGACCAATGCCACTTTAATATCCTCTTCTTGGTGGTTGGATTATGAGACTCACTGGTAACAGAGCTTGCACAATTTTGCATAATCATGTCCAGGCTACATCGAACAGTAGTCATAATTAATGAAAAAAAAAAAAAAGTGTCAGAGAGGGGAGCAAAGTTGTAAGGAAGTTTTCCACCGGCAGAGATGTTAAGGTAAACCAACTTGGTAAAGCATATTCCTCAAATAAAAATGAAGTAACTCTTGCAAAATGCAATTGCTGCAATCTTTTTTAGCTGTTCTGTTTTAAATATACAATTGTTGGAAAAATACAATATTTTGATGTTGTTTTGAATCCTTGTTATTAGAGCAAGGTTTAATTCCCCACTGAAGGAGAAGTAATTTTACGGGAATGCTTCATGACTGCAGCGAATGACATTAGTGAATTACATTTGTGGAGATCAGCATCCACAGTATGACAGTTGACTTCAGTGGGGGACATAGCGCTCTCAAAATACAATGTGTATAAGAAAAGCCAAAAATCTGAAACCTGTAAATGTTTTTCTGAAATAATTTTGAAAGGAAATGATCAGTGAGATGAAATTTTCAATGAAAAAGTACTCGGAAATCCAAAAAGGAGTGGAATCCACAATTCTTCCAAGTCATGAGAGTTTCACTGGTCAGTAAATTCACTCTTGAATCTAAATTTTGAGGTGTACTAAGAATTTGAGTAGGTGAATCAAAATAATGTAAAATTAAAAAATATTGTCTTAGAATTACCCTGTTAGTGTTTCTAACTTCTACAGGTCTTAGAATATTACATGGCCTTACTGCTCAGTTCTGTCTGTGTTGGGGCTTGTATTGTCATAATTCAAAAAACCCTGAGAAAATAGAATAATAGAATGGTTTGAGTTGGAAGGGACCTTAAAGATTTTCTGGTTCCAATCCCCTCCCATAGGCAGAGACACCTCCCACTAGACCAGGTTGCTCAAAGCCTCATACAGCCTGACCCTTCCAGGGATGAGACGTCCATAACTTCTCTGTGCAACCAGTGCCAGTGTCTCACCACCCTCACAGTAAAGAATTTCTTCCCAATATGTAATCTAAATCCCCCCTCTTTCAGTTTAAAGCCATTACCTCTCATCCTATCACTATACTCTTTAAGTGCTGGAAGGGCACTGTAAGGTCTCCCTGGAGCCTTCTCTTCTCCAGGCAGAACAACCCAAACTCTCTCAGCCTGTCCTCACAGCAGAGGACCTCCAGCCCTCACAGCATCTCTGTGGCCTTCTCTGGACCTGCTCCAACAGGTCCTTCTTATGCTGGGGCCCCTAAAGCTGGACACAGTATTCCAGGTGGGGTCTCACCAGAGCACAGTAGAGAACTCAAATGAGTTCTGTGTGTGATAGAATTTTGTGATTATCTGAATGTTTTAAGTTACTGTTAAGTTAATATTTTAAGTTAAAATAGTGTTTGATAAAGGAAAAATAAAATTATGGTATGCACGGTATCAATCTATGTTAAGACAGGATTAATGCTTATTTTAGAAATAAATTGGTCTATTTTAGAAATTAATTCACCAGGTGTTTCTAAAACCCATTCTCTTCTAATCTTTTAGGTGACAGGAAAAAGCTAGCATCTGCATTATTTTTGCCATAGTTGAGATAAACTTGTCTAATATCTAGCAAGACTCATGGTGTTCCTTTGCATCATGTGCTTTTTGCTTAGTAAGACAGTCTGCATCGTAAGTGCATACTTCTGAAATCTTACATGTATTTAATATTTCATGAGTGTATTGTATACTCATATTAAAGAACATGACAAATCGTTGTAAAATACAGCCAAGCATATTTCACAACAGAGGAAGATGAACACTTATTAAGTGGAATCCTGACCCATGTAGTGTTTTGCCGTTGACTCCAGAGGGGTCAAAATTCCATTGTCAGTGAAGACCATCAGAGAACCAGTCACTGGATTCCGTCTTCTCCATCAGGCTGAGGGGTCTGGTAAATCAAAACCCTGCTGTTAAATTGCAGGTCAAGTAATAGCTGTACTGTCATATCTGGAAACCATAATTGTCAAGTATAAGAAGCAAAGAACGCTTGTTTATTAATTCATACTAGCAATTCAGAATGTTTTATTAGGTATGTGTTCTATGTGACCTAAGAAAAATCATTCTTGCAGAAGCTGTGAGTGATCTGGTTACACCGTACATGTCATGTTTAACACTAACTAGGCTGAACTAGCTGAACCAATATCTTGTCTGTCTTTGCTTTTGTAAAGAGAGAAAGGTTTAAGGATGTTTGATGGAGGGGGAAAGCACTTGCAGATGATTTAATGATTTGTGAAATATTGCTGCCTTAGTCAGCATAGTTGCAAGTCAGTCTGCAACACACACGGGTTGAGTCATCAAATGAATAGATATAGAAAGATTTGGGTTTTTTAAGAGTACTTGAAGTTTTAATGTATCTTAACTGCAGTTGCAAAAATAATGCCATTTGATTTCCTCCCCCCTTCTTCTCACACAATGCTTTCTTGAGAGATGAGGTTTATTTCATTATTTACTTTGCCATAAGATTTCATCATGTTCTTTGTGTGCTGTTTAAAACAATGAAATATCTGCAGCTGGATGGACTTTGTGCACCTGCAGTATATGTGGCTGAGAATACTAGCCTGAGCCTCTTCAACTGTCTATAGTGCTGTCCCAATAAAGAGCGCACATGGAGTTTCCTCTTATATGAACTCTGCCTAATTAGGCAAACTGACTCTTAACCTGTGTGTGGGTATCAGTCTGTGCCACTGAATCTGTTCTTGACTGTGTAAAGCAGCAGTAAAACCAAATTCTTTTGGTTTTGGTAACTGTTATTTAAATTTCTGATACATACCTGTGTACCGGTGTCTTTATATAGTAGCATCCCCATTCTGCAGAGAAAGTGTTTGGAAGTACTATTTCATTGTGTTGGGATTGTACTAATACAACTTCTGATTTTTATCGAGCTAGAGAGGGGAGAAGAATCTTTCATGTCTGACAGCAGGAACATGAAGTGACTCTCAAGGTGGAGGCTATGACTGCTTGCAGTACTAACAATGCTCATCTTACTAAAAATACAATAAATAGAAAAGCAAAGGCCTATTCTAGCTTTAAAAAGAGGATTTTCTATGCTCATCCTGAGGTTAAGTATTTGCAGCTCCTCCATATTATATAAAAGGGATTCTATTTTGATTCTATTTTAATTTTCTATTGAGATTTGCAATTGGAAATGTTTTCTTCTGAGTGAACAAGGTTCTGAACTCATTACGTACATTTATATAATATATTGTAGGCTTGAAAAGACAGAAGCATGTCATGAAAGTGCATGTATTGAATCAGGAAGATAAGTTCTGGCCTTGAAGTTTTAACATAAATAATTTAGAATTAGAAATTGTTTATATTTCAGGTAACTCAGGAAATAAAATTCATGCTCACTCACCTAGCCTATTAGTATTGCAGGCGTTTCGGTAGGGGCAGGTCTTTGAGGAAAAGCCCCCATATTTCTTTTCTAGGTACTTTTCCTGGAGGAAAACTTTTCTGTGCTTTGAAGTCTTGAGAAAAATCATTTACATGGATGATCTGAGACAAAATTTAGTCTTTATTGTAGAATGGGTTTTTCTTTCTTCACAGTGTCCTAAGGAGACCTTTTCATCCATCTCTCTAGTTAGGATCTCGCTTCTCTGGGTTTGAACTGAGATCTTCCGTTGAGAGAAGCAGGTTTCAACATGCATCTTGTTCCTGCCTTCTTTCCAAGCTGAAAACCTACCTGGTCAAAAGGGGAAATAAAATATAAATCTTGTGATTCCTTGGAGGTGAATGGATTTTTAGCAGCACCCTTACCCG